TCTCATCCTCCTGAGTAGCTAGGGTTATAGGTATGAATGAGCCTGAGCACTGTTCCTGAGCCTTTTTTTTTCCCCTCAAGGCTAACTCTCTACCATTTGAGACAGTTCCAGTTCTGGTTTGTTGTTTTTCATTTGTTTGGGTTTTTTTTTGACAGTTAATTAGAGACAAAAGTCTCCTGGACTTGGTCCCCCAGATTAACTTCCAAATCTCAGCCTCCTCAGTAGCTAGAATTAGAGGTGTGAGCCACAGGCACCCAGCATTTAGGATAATTTTAAGCTTTTTAAAAAATTTAGATGTTGCCATTATTTAAATCTCTATGCTATCTATTTTGAGAATCTAATTACAAATTTACTACAGTCTTAACTTTGTTTTTGTTTATATTTTTCCTACAAATTTTTTTCTTTCTTTTGTCAGTCCTGGGGCTTGAACTCTGGGCCTGGGCGCTGTCCCTGAGCTCTTCAGCTCCAGGCTAGCTCTCTACCACTTGAACTACAGCGCCACTTCCTGCTCGGGCTGCTTTGAACTGTGATCCTTAGATCTCAGCCTCCTGAGTAGCTAGGATTACAGGCATAAGCCACCACTGCCCAGCTGCAAATTTGGTATTTTTGTATTTATTGAGGACAAAATCAAATGGTAATACCTTTTCCCTTTCATTAAGGTGTGGGATTTTCTTTTCAAAATTTCTAATGTTTTCTATTTCTTTTGATAAATTCCTCTTCCCTGTTAAAATTATCGGTGCTTTCATTAATTATCATCCCCTGCTGTTTTCTTTAAAAAAATGTTACATTCTAAAGTCCTTGTTGGCTAATTTCTACATCTTAATCACCTGTGGGTATTTTTCCTCCTCTCTACTGTTTTTGTGTTCCTTTGGGTTTTAGTTGTTTGGCTACATCACACTTTTTTGTGTATACATTTGTTAAGAAAAGAATTTTCATTAACTTTTGTTGTTATTTTCCAGGACAATGGATTTGGAGTTAATCACCTTAATACAATCAGGAGCTGGGGGATACTCAAGGCTGAGCTGCACCTTGATGAGGTTTTGTTTTCTGTGTATTTCTCACTCACTTAAAGATAACACTTCTGGGTTCTTCCTGACAGCTCAGAGTGCTCACGAAAGCCCCTCTTCCTGTTGTGAGCTGAGCAATAATCTTGGTGCTGTCAACACTGAGTTTTAGCTATCCCTTTTCTCCTTGTCTTTATAGTTTCAGAGTTGAGAAAAATGTCTGAAGTATGGGATTTATTTTCTCTTCCTTTATTTTCTGAGAAAATGGCTTTTAAGGCTAGTTTATTGAATTTTATTTCAAAGAAATAACTTTTCATACTGACTAATCATCTTCTCCTCCTCTTCCTCCTCTTCTTCCTCCTCGTCTTCTTCCTCCTCCTCCTTCTTCCTGCTCCTCCTCTTCTTCCTCTTCTTCATCTGCCTCCTCCTCTTCCTCCTCCTTCTCCTCCTTCTTCTTCCTGCTCTTCCTCCTTCTCCTCTTCCCCTCTTCCTCCTTCTCTTCTCTCCCCATCCTCCTTTTGTGTTGTGTTACTGAGGTTTAAACTCAGGGCCATCTGCTTGTTAGTACAAGTGTTCTACTGCTTGAGTCACATACCCACCTATTATTAATTTAGTTGTTTTTTTTTCACAGAGCATCTCATTTTTGCCTAGTGCAGGCCTCTAACTGCGATCCCCCTACTTATGCTTATGAAGTAGCTGGAATTTCAGATACTAGACACTTCGCTCATCTTATGCCAACCTCTAAAGAACCTGAAAGAGAGCTATAGTTTGGATCTGGAATGTGTCCTGAAGCCCCATGTGTTAAAACTTTATTCTCCAGAGTGCTTCTATTGGGAGGTGGTGAAATCTTTATCAGGTGAGGCTCAGCGGGAGGTCTTTAGGTCATTGATGGGAATACCCAGGAAGAGAGTAATGGTAATCTACTCCCTTCTTTATCTTTCTTTTGCCTCCTAGGCAGTGCCTTCTGTCAAGATATATGCTCTTATCACAAGCCCCAAATTATAGTGCCAATTGATCATGGAGCAAACTCTGAAGCAGTGAGCCTTGTTTCTTTATAAACTGATTTTCTCGTGTATTTGCTACCATGATGCATAGCTAACACAAAGAATTATTTGCATTTTTAACCTTTTAAAATAAATACAGGCCAGGCACCAGTGGCTCACCTGTAATCCTAGCTACTCAGGTGGCTGAGATCTGAGGACATGGTTCAAAACCAGCCCGGGCAGGAAAGTCTGTGAGACTCTTTTTTTTTTTGTCGGTCGTGGGGCTTGAACTCTGGGCCTGGGCGTTGTCCCTCAGCTCTTCAACTCAAGGCGAGCGCTCTACCACTTGAGCTACAGCGCCACTTTCTGTGAGACTCTTATCTCCAGTTAACCACCATAAAACCAGAAGTGGTGCTGTGCCGCTAGTGATAGAGCGCTAGCCTTGAGCTGAAGAGCTGAGGGACAGCGCTCAGATCCAGAGTTCAGGCCCCATGACCAACCAAAAAAAATACAAGTATTAACAAATCAATTTATTAGTTTACATACAGCCAACAATTGACAGCTATCCTTAATAGAGTTGTGCAGTGTTTAAAGGCTCATTGATGGATAGCAGTACCTAGATTCATTTGTGGAACACTCAAGGCTCATACCTAATGGGGAGGCTCAGACCTGGAGGATTGCAGTTTAAAGTCGGTTCAAGGCAGAAAATTCCCTGAGACTCAATTTCCAATTAATTAGCAATATGTTAGCCTGGAAGCATGATTCAAATAGTAGAATACCTGTGTTGAGCCAGAAAGTTGATCAGGAACCTGTGGCCCTGAGCTCAAGCCTCAGTATGGGCACCCAAACAGATTACTTTGTGAAAATATAAACTGGCTATTTTTCTTCTTTTTTTATTGTGAAAATACCATACAGAGGGATTACAATTACATGGGCAAGGTAATGATACATTTATCATCAAATATAATCATACAAAAGATAGGTTTTCCAGAAGTGGTGCTGTGGCTCAAGTGGTAGAGCACTAGCCTTGAGTACAAAGAGTCTCAGGGACATTGCCAGGCCTTGATTTTAAGCCCTACCCACAACCAACAAACAAAAACAACAAACCCAAAAGATAGATTTGGTTAATTACACAAATGGACAGATGGTATGGAAATTTATGTTTGTCAAACGTTTAGACAGTAAGATCTTAGATTCGTTAGGATTTCTTTATGGGCCACAATAGCAACCAGCAGAATTCTCTAATCCCCAGTTCCATAACTCCCTCTGTTGGCTACTTTCCTGGGCTAGGTTTTCCTTAAACTCAACTCAAAAACCTTGAGCAGAGAGCCAGGTGTGTTTGATCTGCCTTTGCATTTTTATTTTATTTTATTTTTTGCTTGCCATTTGCTTTTGGAGAATCCTGGGAAGAGAAGTGAGGCTCCTGCTCTTGGCACATTAATACTGGAACAGCCCTTCCTGCAGGTCACCCCTTTCCTGCAGCCTTACATCCTAAAACACTAATGGTACTTTCCAACCTCTCAGAGAGAGAAATAGTGTTATTAATGCAGGTGGGTCTGAATTGGGAAGATCTTTCCCTCTGTGAGTTCATTTAAATGAGTTCCAATACTCCATTCTCCTCATCCTATTACTGTTTAATATTTAAACACAGATCCAAGTTCTCAGTTTTGTCACTGACAAACTCAGAGGAAATCCACCTTTTTTCTTTTTAATGTAGCCTTTCCTGGCCTCTCCTTCCTGGTGTCTGGTGCCAGTACTTGGGCCTGGGTGCTGTCCCTTTACTTTTTTGTTCAAGGCTGGTGCGCTACCACTTAAGTCACATCTCCACCTTCAGCTTTCTTTTTGCTGGTTAAATTAGAAATAAAAGTATTACAGAATTTCCTACCCAGGCTGGCTTCAAACTGTGATCTTCAGATCTCAGCCTCCTGAGTAGCTAGGATTACAGGTGTGAGCCACCAGTACCTGGCTTGGGGCTCTTCTTGATGTGCAAATGTCTTTTTCATGCAATTTTACATTTAAGCACTATTAAAATTAACTATAAAAACTGATGTCCTGGGGCTGGGAAGGTGGCTCAGTGGTAGAGCGCATGCCTTGCATGCATGAGGCCCTGGGTTCGATTCCTCAGCACCACATAAGCAAAATGAAAAAAAGCTGGAAGTGGCGCTGTGGCTCAAGTGGTAGAGCGCTAGCCTTGAGCTGAAGAGCTGAGGGACAGCGCCCGGGGCCCAGAGTTCAGGCCCCATGACTGGACCCCCCCCCCAAAAAAAAACAACTGTTGTCCTACTCTAGTTATTATTATAAGCTGTAAGGAGTCAATGATATTCATACTAACAAAGAGTAAGAGCTGTACAAATCCTGGCTTGAAACACCATCTGACCCCACACCCTGCCAGAAGAAAATCAGTTAAAATACAGTGGGCCTCAGAATAAGTAAATACTGAAAACAAAAAGAAGCACATGAAGACAAAGCAAAAAAATTTAAAAAGATATTCAAATATATTAAGTGGAAAAGTTTTGCTTTTCATCTAGTTGCATGCTTTTATTATGCACAAATGATCATCTAACAGAAATATAATTAGTAGGTAATTATTTGGATCATGTGTAGTCTACTGGAAAAGAAATTCAAAATTTAAGATAAAGTTTAGAATTACAAAAGGAAGATTCTAGGAAATTAAAATTCAAAAGACATTTCACACGAGTTCCTTTTGTGAATTCTCAGTAATATTTGGCTCTTAATTTGCATAGGGAAGGTTACAAAACTCTCACCAGTAGTAAACATATAAAAATATGGTCAGTAATCCCAGCTAGGTTGCTAGTCATAATACAAACATAAATTTGATTGAAAAACACAAATTAATTCTAATTACCCATCTCTTATTCCAACCAACACATTTAAAAAATATTTCTTGATAGATAGATAGACAGACAGACAAATAGATACTTCTCCTTAGGCTTAGGTGGGGAAGCTCCAACATCCTTCCGCTCTGGGCTGTACCCCTCGAAGTGCCCCCTACCTGCTGATGTTGTCACAATCTCTGTGGTGTTTCGGAGGCCCATGAAGTCAAACTGGTAAAGCCGCCATGATTTCTGATCCGCAGCCTCCACTGAATTTTTTCTCCATCTATAAATCATTTCTTCTTTGGGATAGCCATCTAAAAACATGAAGAAGCAGCAAATATTAATGCTCAGAAGTACAGGTTTTTATAAATCATTCAAAAAAAACCTAAAACAAAACCCTGAAGTCTGGCTAGTTATTAGGAGTTAAAGTTTTAGGCCACATGTGTTCTCCCATTTTGCCTGTAGAGGCACAGAGAAAGGACAGATGCCATCAAGGCCTGCACCAACCTTCACCCTCAGCAAGGCCTTCCTTGCTCACTTACAAGCCTGTCCATGGTGCCTAGGATGTGGTGAATAGAGAGACCATTGTCTCTACTCTTTAACTTTGAAGAGCTAGCTTCCACCGTCCTTCCAAGAGTATAGGTGTTTGTCAGGGTGTCAGTGGATATTCTCCCCATCCCCCACCTCCACAGAATACTTTCCATACAAATCAAATCAATTCTTCCACACTCATTTTACCCTCCCTCTGTACCTTACACACACACACACATAGAACTGAATGCATGACCATCTCAGGAATGATGAGTTTAATAAGATAATCACTGCAGGATCCAAGGGCTCACTGATACTTTGTGTCTGCTGTGATTGACAAATGATTAGACCCTACAGATTGCACATGAGGGGAGCCTCGTCCCCAGCAGAGCCTCACAGAAGTCATGGGGGCAACCACTGATAACAGTAATGTCTTTATTGAGATCGTGGTTAATTTCCTTAAGACTGGATCCTATCATATGCTAGTGAATTCATTCTCCAGGGACTAATTAGTTACTACAAAGTAGATTGCTATCCAGGGGATCATCCTCTCTCTCTCCCTCTCTCCCTCTCCCCCATCTCTCTCTCATACATATTTATTCTGCTCCCATTCCCTCTGTCTTGATTTCCCACCGTGACCAGAAGCATCCTGGAACCAGAAACCAGAGCCAAACAAATGGGAAAGAATGCTCTTGATTCCCCCAGAACTAGGAGTTGAACAGATTCCTTGGTGAATGACCCAGCCTCCGTTGTTTTGTAACGTCAACAGAAAACTAGCTCAAGTTTGATGTCAGTCTCTAGTGTCCATGAGCATATTTGGAACTCTTTCAGATCAGTTCTCAGGAATTACTTTAGGAAGCAAAATCTTGGTGCTTTCCTTGCCTGAGGGCCAGTATTGGTGACCTGACTAGAGCTGGGACATCATGAGCAGTTGTTCTGTCCTGTCGTCCTAGGGCTGTTCCTGAGGATTAGTGGCCCCCTGAGCTTGAGCCATATAGTGGTCAAATAGCTTCTTCCCTGACTCCATTTCTATTCCTGGATACTCCAGAATTATTCTTGGAAAACACTACTGTGCTAGGGCTCTCTGACCTGATCAAAAGACTGATCTAGTGTATTTGCTCTCTGTAAGATCCTATCTCTCTCTTTTTTTTAAATAGGGATACAGGTGGACCCATTGCAAATGAGAAGTACAAGTCATTATGTCCAAAACAAACTTTAAAACTTTGGTGGGGAGGGAAGGATTGGGTGGGGGGGGGGGGGGTGGAGGAGAGGATGGGAAGGGATGGGAAGGGGAAACAAAGGAGGAGGCTACAATGCTTGATAAGAAATGTACTCATTATCTTGCCCATGTAATTGAAACCCCTCTGTACAGTATTTTCACAATAAAAAATAAATAAATAAAAAGAAAAAAAAAGATCCTATCTCTAACCTCTGCAGGGAGTCTGCCCCACAAGGCATGCTTCACTTCCAAGAATAGTTCTAGATCCCAGACTGTCACCCAGTACTTTAACAGCATTGGCATTATTAACTCTATACCAATTCATGAAGATGCTGAAGTCATAACTCTGGAGGGAAGAAATGCATTCATAATTTTGAGACATATGGATGTATATACGCTTAAGCAAACATTAATAAAGTGCTAATTGGTAACATTGATGATTAGCCATTTGCATCAATTTGTCTTAAAGACAATCTCCTTTATGGTTTATGTCTCTCTTTTCTGTTTAACATTGTGGACTGAAGTCTGTTGTTCAGAGACTGAAATACAGCACATGAGTGTCTCTTGTTTCATGATTGTGTATTGCTCTCTGAAATTATGGTCAGCATTGAGGAACAATGCTTGTGCTCTACTGTTTGAGTCATACCTCCACTTCCAGCTTTTCACAAGTCAAGTGGTGATAAGAGTCTCTTGAATTTGTGTATCTTGTCTGGATTTGAACCATGATCCTCAGATCTCAGCTTCTCTGTCACTACAGTTTATCATAGCAAAGGACATGCTAGTTTCTCCCACCTTCTGTCTGTTCCCACAATGTGGTGGCTGAGCTGAAATTGGCTCTTAGAGGCATCTGTAGCAACAGTACCTGCTCTTCAGGTGCATTCCCTGGCTCCTACCACAAAGAAGCCCATTGTCAGAAAGCATTTTCTAAGCTGGACAACAATGACTCATGTTCTTAATCCTAGCTACTCAGAAGGCTGAGATCTGAAAATCATAGTTGGAAGCCAGCCCAGGCAGAAAAGTCCATAAGGTGATTTTTTTAAATAAGTTTTTTATTGTGAGAATACTGTACAGATGAAGGGTTACAGTTACATGAGCAAGGTAATGAGTACATTTCTTATCAAGCATTGTTGTCTCCACCTTTGTTTTTCCCCTACCATCCCTTCTCACCCATCTCCACAACTGCACTCCCCCTAACTCCCGTCCCCCCACCTAAATTGTAAAGTTCATTTTTCGACATAGAGTCTTGTACATCTCATTGTTGCAATGGGTCAACCTATATCCCTGTTTAAACATTTTTTCCCTTCCCCTCCCCAAATCATACCAATATCAAATACAGTGAAAACAGGGGTTATACTGTGGGGGAGGGACACACAAAGCAACAAAAATCATGTGGTACCTTATAAATACATTAGAAGCAAGAAAGAAAAAGCCACTTGTGTCCTTATCTTGGGGTTCATTTCCCTTAACATTCTTACCTCAAATTAAGCACCAAAAATTTGGAAGTGGAGGTATGGTAGAGCACTAGTCTTGAACCCTAATACATTCTTGGTGGGAATGTAAACTTGTTCAACCATTCTGGAAAGCAATATGGAGGTTTCTCAGAAACATAGTACTACTGTATGATTTAGCAATTCTACTCCTGAGCATTTATCCAAATGATTATTGACAAGGATACAGTAAAGCCAACAATACAACCATGTCCACTGCAGCACTATTTACCCCAGCCCAAGTATGGAATCAATCCAGATGCCCCTCAATGGATGAATGGATCAATAAAATGAGATATGCATACACAATGGAATTTTATTCATCCATTAGAAAAAATGATATTGTATCACTTGCAAAGACATGAAAGGAACCTGGGAAAATATGTTAAGTGAAATACATCAAGCCCAGAGAGACAAAGTTGACAGTTTTCCCCCGTATGTGTTTTATAAACATAAGTAAATAAGTTTATAAACATATAAGTAAATACATTGGGTGGTATGCAAAGGTACACCAATATATTAACTGAAATATGGGAGATCTCAAACAGTATAATTCTTTAGGAATGCAAAAATCATAGTTCAGCAAAACAAACATCAGGAAATGAGTGCTTGAAAGGGTTGGGGTAGGTCCAGGGGAGAAAGATAGAGGGATGAAAAGAAGAAAGGGGAGAATGAAGTCAAGAATTCATTGTACTGGGACAGAGCGAAGGGAAGGTGTGTGTGACACTGTCCAAAAAGAAATGTTCTCTCTACCAGACTTTTGTAACTGTAACCCCTCTGTGTATTACCATCTAATAACAATCATTTTTTTTTTGACAAAGAACTCAATGTATATCCTACAAAATGAAGAAAAGGGATAGAAAGGATGGTTTGAGAGGGATGGGAGAGGGTGTGGAGGGGTGCCATTGATGGAGATACACTGTGTTACATAAGCTACTTTGTTAAATGGCAACTCCTTTGTACAATGACTTAGAGATAATATATTTTGTTAATCCAGTAAAGTACCCCTGGAAAGTCATGATCTTAACCATACCCATAGATTATTCAGGAAACCTTATAAATCTTGTTTATGTTTCTTCTGACTTGTCTTTCAGAACAACTTAGATCTTAAAGAAGAAAGAAACAGAAGGTGGTTTCAAAGGGAGCGCATGCGAAAAAGCACCAGGCCCAGGTAGGCAGGCAGGGAATTGTTCCAAACCTTGATAATTGGATCCTGTCAGTGGTGTTTCAATCCGTCCAGAGAGTGGAAAGTGGAGGAGGCTACCTGATTATATTTTTACATAGTGAGCATAACTAAGATGCCTAAGCTGACAAGGAATGCACAGGAGAGCAATCTCACTTGCAAATGTTGGCATAAAACTTCACATCCAATGTTAATTAATAGGATCTACCAGCAAGGTGTTTTCAATACATTAAGAATTAACAGGATTTATGCAGGAACACAAGAGTAGAGATTTCATGAATATAACCCAATGGAAATACATCCCCAGACCGCGGTGAAAAGTTTGGTAACATTTGCAGTGAAATGAAAACTAAAATTTAATGAATACTGCTGAAATGAATGGCACTGATGAATGATAGATGGGAGATAAATAGGTAGGTAAATAGAATTCTTAAAAGCCAAAAACTTGTTTTTGTTTTTAGCTTGTTTTTTTGGTCAGTTGTGGAGATTGAATTCAGTACCTGGGTGTGCATCCCTGAACTTTTTTCTGCTCAAGGCTAGTACTCTCTCACTTTGAGTTATAACGCCACTTGGGGTTTTCTGGTAGTAAGCTGGAGATAAGAGTCTCATGGACTTTATTTCCAGGCTGTCTTTGAACCTTGATCCTCAGATCTTAACCTCCCAAGTAGTTAGGATTGTAGGTATGAGCCCGCCCCTCCTCCCCATTGTCATGTGAGCCAAAACTAATTCATGTTTGTAATCCCACCCAGTCAGGATGCAGAAGTGGGGAGGTGCCTTAACTCAATCTGTAACTGGGTCTGTAAAGTGTGCCTGTCAGTCCAGGTATGTGGGAGGTATTATGAGAGAAGCATACATTTAAGTGTTCAGAGTGATTGCCTGGCAAACACAAAGCCC